GACAAGTTTATAATAATGATGAAGCCATTGATTTTAGTGCCTGTCATACAGTATTAAGTTCTGATGCAGTTAATGATAGGTATAGCATTAGAGCACTCATCTAGAAACTCTCCAAAAACAGGGTGCAGTAATTCAGTAGGGAGGCCAACTGAAGAAGTTGGTCAGTGATTGAGGAAAACTTGATCCGAATTCGATGATTGGTACCAGATTCTTGCCATATCACTTGGAGAGGGAGTCTGCACTAGTCTTTTCATGTAGCATTCATAGTCACTTTCCGAATTTTTTCATTTGCGAGTTTGCACTGTTTCACAAAGCGAAAAAAAAAAAAAAAGCGGTGTGCAACTTTAATAGAAAGGCACTATCTAGGAGGGTGTGGTGTATACGAAGACCGTCCCGTAGCAATGAGCAGGCCACAACCAAAAAAGCAGTACACCACACATCCAGACCACCTTACTATGTCAACTCTACGTCTACTCTACCCTATGTACACACTACCCTATGTCCCCAACGCCCGAGTCACAAAGTCGTTACCTGGTTGAGCCATTGCTGCAAGCAACGCGCTACCCCACTTCTTCTTTTCATCCATCCAATAACTCTTCTCTCCCACTAACTCGTCCATCTCCCCCTGGTAGCTTTCCACTACACCCTTCCTCAATGCCTCCAACCTGGCTAGTTTCTCGTTAGCTTGATCCAACTCTCTTTGCATGTGCGCGGCATCCATGTTTGAAGTGAAGTGTTTGTAGCAAGATGTGCTGCGCAATGCTCTAATATTTTAATGCTGATCAGTGGCTTATCAATGATGTATTATTAGGAACTTTCTAGACCTTTCACAATGTAACTATTGTTCCCCTGCACGCATAATGTGACCAATGATAATTGATGCGCAGAAACACGCTTTTTCGTCTATTTAAACATCATCGCAAGATTTTATTACAGAAGTAAGCACTAGTCGCTTATTTTCAGAAAAAGCAACCACCACTCAACAAATACAGATATCATTTAAAACGATAAAAAACCAGATCTAACAATTTCCATCAATAAACTCTGCGAAGAATGTTTACATTTACAAGCGAATTCTTCCTTGGAGCATTAATTGGCTTCGTTCTTGGTTTGTTGGTAAATTACCGCCAACTCTATCGCACTGGTGCATTACTTAAGACTGGAAAGTCTAATAATTTACAACTGATAACAAAACCGTCAGCAAACAAAACTTATTCGCCAGATCTTGAAACATTGTGGAACGATTTAAAACAATTATACGATAAAAGATCTGAAATGGACCCTAAATGTTGCGCTTAAGCAGTTTTTTATCCTGACTATAAAGAACAATTTTTCGTTTATTATTATAGGTCGTTCGATCAGTGGAGGCCTTTTACGTTAACCTGACTTTCCTTTACCTTTCTTCAAGTTTTCGTTTCTTTCTTGGTTTATAATGCGTTGGTGTTAATGCTCGTTTAGTAGTTATGATTTTCCGTTCCTCTTGATAAATTTCATAAGTGATTTTTTCTTGATCTAGATATTCCTGGAGAGTTTGGGTATCATTGATTTTAAAAATATAGGGTGCAATTTTTTCTCCTTGAGCTTTCTTTAAAATACTTCTAATAGTGCTGTAATTCTTGGGTTCCATGGTGGATTTAATGTAAATTAGTTTCATATTAATATTTTATATAGGGATAGTCCTATATTACTCCTGTTATGGTTTATATTCCTCACATTCTGGTACAATAAAGTGAAAATTAAAATTGACAAGTCCATAAGTTATGATGAGCACCATTATTACTTTTCAAAAATGTTATCAGTTACACTGGTCAATTTTACAGCCACATCATAATCAGCCTCTCATTTATGTCACATAATAGAATGTTCACTTTGTCTGGTTTTGTTGCAGCATGCCCCAAATGATCTTAGACATTGAGCCAGAGGATGCAATTGCATTAAGAACAAGAACAGAAGTCTATCTCAAGCTTAAGCAGTATGACAATGCATTAAATGATTTTGATAAGTTCTTAGACATTGAACCACAGGATGCAATTGCATTAAGAGTAGTCCTCAAGCTTAAGCAATATAAAATTGCATTAAATGGGTTTAATAAGTATAGGTTCTTAGATATTAAACCACAGGATGCAACTGCATTAATATTAATGCAGTACACAATTGCATTAAAGGATCTTAATAAGTCCTTAGACATTGAATCAGATTATGCAATTACTTAACAACAAGAGGAGAGTAGTCTATTGAGATTTACTATATAAACTTCTTATAACGAATGGAACTGGTTCACCCTCTTATATGCCCAATTTCTTTTATCAAAGGTTTCTTATAACGGGTTTTACTTGTAATAGCCTAGGTAAATTTCTTCAGTAATGATCGATTTCAAAATTTTTTTTACATATGTGTAAAAGTTTTTTAAATTCAAACGCGGAAGTTCAAATTATATATTATTATTTATTTATTAAATTTCAACCGTCGAAATGATTTGTCCACAAATTAATTTTATTATTCAAAGCTTTGTTGATTTATTATTAAAAACGATATTAAATTTACATAGTAGCAAATAAAGTATACAAATATATCCACGTGAATTCAATATTACTGGTTCTCCCTAAATGCAGGTTTCTCTGTAAATAAATATACATATCAATTAGATCGAACATTTTTGACAAAAGCTAAACTTTGAGAGAAAACCATGTTGCACTACGTGACATTTAATCTCTTTCACATTTTGCTTGTTCTGTTTCCTCTCTCATATAAACGGCTTTATAGTTGGAAGTATTACTTACAATGACGGAAACCTTGCCAGTGTACTGTCTGGAATGCGCTGTTCAAAGTTATGACTGGGGAAAGCTGGGAAAGGAAAGTAAAGTGGCTCACTTTGCCTCCAAGTTCACTGATATCGATAATAAGAAACCATATGCTGAGGTAATCAGTCGATATAAGGCAAAACCCTCCTAGCGTTCGAATCTCGTACTAAACTTGCGTCTTTTCTCCGATCACACAAGCTATGGATGGGAACTCACCCAAACGGCCCAAGCAAAATAGCAAGCACAAATACTTTTCTCAAGGATGCTATATCCTCCAACCCCATTCAGCATCTCACTGCAGCCATAGCCCACAACTACGACAATGACCTTCCATTCCTCTTCAAAGTTCTCTCTGTCCGCAAAGCGCTCTCTATCCAAGCACATCCTGATAAGAAACTCGGGAAAGAATTGCATGAAAAGTACCCTACAATATATAAAGGTGAGACATTTTGTAACAGATATATGTGTTAGCCGTGTCAAATTGTACAAATCAAAAAGGGGTTGCAAGACTAGTCAAGCCCTATCTATTCGTTTATTACATATTGCAACATTAACACACGCCCTACTCTTTTACTTCTGATCTGCTCTCAAACAGACCCAAATCACAAGCCAGAAATGGCGATAGCAATTACAGACTTTGAAGCATTATTCGGATTTCGACCCTTAAACGAAATCGTATCATTCCTTAACGAGTTTCCCGAATTCGCCACTCTTGTGGGCGATGCGACGGTGAACAAGTTTTTAGACTCCATTCGTGGTCAGAGTGAGACTGCTTCGCCCGAGGAAATTACGAGTAACAAAGTGGCACTTAAGGAATTGTTCGCTGCAGTTATGATGACGGATGCGAATGTTGTAAAAGAATCTGTGGAGAAGATGTCGCGGAGAGTGGAGCGAGAGCAGAGAGAGACGGGAGATGACGACCGTACGAAAGAGTTGATTGTGAGATTAAGTACTCAATATCCGGGTGATGTTGGCGTGTTTGCAGTTTTAATGTTGAATTATGTAAAACTAAACCCGGGGCAGGCTATTTTCTTGGGTGCCAATGAGCCGCATGCGTATTTATTTGGAGGTGAGTTAGAATTTTTTTTTAAACAAGAGAATGAGTGAAGGGTACATGTCAAGTCCCGAATTTCATTGGTTGCTAAGGAATTCACATGCGAAATATGAATACAGATTGTGTCGAATGCATGGCTGCAAGCGACAACGTAGTTCGTGCCGGCCTGACACCAAAATTCAAAGATGTACCTGTCCTGGTTAATATGCTGACGTACAACTACGGTCCCGCTGATAAGCAGATACTGTCTCCCATTCGGCACTCATCGACTACTGTCCTGTATGATCCACCCATAGAAGAGTTCTCTGTATTGCTTACCACACTGACGCGTGGGAATGCAAGTGAGGAGTTCGATCCAATAATTGGGCCAAGCGTATTGATTGTTACCGAGGGGATGGGTATGCTGGTTGTTGATAATCAAGAGAGAAAGGAAGAGTTATGGCCAGGTGGCGTATATTTTATTGGGGCCGGAATTAAAATAAGAATCGATACGAAAAATGGTCTGGTTGCTTATCGAGCATTATGTACTATTTGAGTTGATTTGGCTGATACTCGATAAGGCAGCATGCCGGTTCGCCCATTAATCTTCTTTATTTAGATAGAGGTAAAAAAAATTAATGATAGAAATGTCTCATTATAATTTACATGAATGCTTAAGAATAAAAGGTGTTTGCGATTAGGGAGGAGACTTTAATGTCTCATACATAACGAATTCTTGATCACTCTATTAAAAAACCATAAAGGCTTGCTTGATGCCAAGTGTAAAAGTCCGAATTAGAGCAGCGTTAATAAATTTGGAACGGTTTATGTATTGTTTGTCTTGTGAAAATTTCAAAATCCAAAGCAATTTTACTGTTCTGATAAACAGCAAAGGATCGGTTCTTATCCACGCCCATAGTTTTTCCGAACTACTGACAGATACAGTAATTCGGCATGCCAGACGCAATCAATTGTTGGAGTTAAAGCTCGCGAGTTAACTATAGCTCGCGAGTTAACTATAGCTCGCGAGTTAACTATAGCTCGCGAGTTAACTATAGCTCGCGAGTTAATTATAGCTCACTCGCGTTGTTAGTCCATTGTCGCCACAATATTAAATCGTTTCTATTCAACGAAATTGACGACAAATAATACAGATGCGCCAGTAAACACATGTCTAGCCAACAACGTGATTCGGACATGTCTTAACCAGATCACACGTTTCCGAGTTCTGACGCTTCCTATTTATTTGATCATTGCAATCCGAGGTAAAACAATATGCAAACACTCCCTAAATAAGTTTCGCGTTTGAGTCACTGCCTGTGTCGAGTTGCTCGATGCGAGGAAATTTTATTCCAGGATTTTACGTCGAGGTTTATCACATGATAAAATGTAGAATAAGTTTCGCTATAAATTATGCTAGCATGACCCTTTTGTTTTACTGATACTAACACTACCATGCTAAGAAAAACTGAAATAATCGATAAGGCTGGGTTTTATTACTTCCTATCCACACCATGTGAAGATTGGGATGCAATCACGCGACAGCTAGAGTGGAAGACTGAAAGCAATGGGGTGTTTTTTGGGGGGTTGGGTCAGGGTTAGGGTCAGGGTTAGGGTTAGGGTTTTTTATTTATTTTTTGCAAGGTATATAGCGGTTGTGGCAGGAATCACGAGTCCGCCCGTGTATAGAATACGTATCCGCCCTGTCTCGACTGAGATTAAGGACTACGTATCCGAGTGGTTATGGAATACGTTTCGCTGAAATCTTTCCATGATTGAATTTTGCTTGGTCCAAAATTTCGAGTGACAAGTTGGTCGAAGACAGTACTATGGACATTATTAATTTTTTGAATAAAATACCCAATAAACAGGTACAGACGAGCTTTACTAACTGTAATAACTGCAACTTACTGGATCGGGGATGCTTTTAATTATCTTTCGTTCTTCATTCTTGCAATTCTGAGTTAATGAGTATACTGTAATTCCTTGTCTAATTGACAGAGTCAACCACCATTTATATTGCTGCTTCGAGAAAATTCTAATCAAAAATACGTGGTTGTTACTTCAACATTAACACGCCACTCAAATTAATCTCCTGATTGAACCAATTTTAAAGTTTTGCTGCTTCGTGTTATACGTGTACTCTGTATTAGATATGCAATGAAGCGATATTTTCCCGTTATTTGCTATTTAGCATTTATTCACATGCTTCCTGATCGAAACAGCTTAGAAAGTGTCTCGATTGCAGTCGGCCCTCACATTCAACCGCCTGCATTGCGTTTATTCGAATTAAGAGTCCTTGTGCAACAAGATGCAACAAGGCGTAGAAAAAAGCAAACTCAATCGAAAGGAGACAGTCCGGTTATTATTATGTAATTATGCGGACTTAGCATATTAAAGGAGATAGCCAAGACTCTTGTTTATCAAGAAGAATAAGAGACAAACCTCATTGATATAATACGGCATACGCCTGTAGGTGAAGTAGACTAGGCTATACAATATATTTACCCACCAATGCCTCAAGCTGTAAAGACATGAGTTTGACTTGTTATTTCCTTGATCAACAGCAATCTTTCTTAATTAGGGTTTTATGTGAAAGATGCCTTTGCACAGTAACTGCGTAATATTCCCATTTGTTTGATAAAGTACTCATCAGCAATAGAAAATTGCCAAACTGTCAAGTTAATTATCATGGCCAGAGACTATTTAGGTCGCTGGACCTCTGCGTAAGAAAAAAATTTCCTGTCCTGTTACTACTAAAAATACCTCCCGCAAATTAGTGCGTGTTGAGTACGATACTGGCGCATTCGATCCCTACGCAGTAGCACCATTCGTCATACTGCGTGAAACATGAACAAACCATGGTCTAAAACTAGACTGTTACATTTGGCTAACTCACAAACAGACTTGTCAGTTTAATCTGTTGCTCTTCTAATATAAATGTATTAGCAAATTCAGGATATGGCAGAACAAATTAAAATGTTCATATTAATATTGGTGAATGTTTATTATTATTGTTATAGGGTTAAAAATTGGTTTACAAATTTTGCCACCAACCCTTGATTTAATTCGCACAAGCATGTAAGTGATAAAACTCGTATATATCGAATTACCCTTTTATGGAAATAACAGTTTCACCGAATATAAACCACAATAATGATGATAAATACATTACAAGTTTTTATTAATCGAACGAGAGTCAATTATTTCGTTTGTCACTCTCAGCATTTCGTTTACTAATAGTTTAGAGTCAACAAATTAATTAATATTTCCTAATGTCAAATTAAACGTAAATTCAGTTGTCCGAAAAAAAAGTGTCATGAGTCCAGTTTAAGTTACCCCTAACAAAGTAAAAGAGTAACAAGTGAATATCTAAATTTACTACATTATCATGATGACGTCATTATAACATGCCCATTGCTTAAACAAGAAGAGAATAAATAAAATCGAAAAACCAACACTAAAGCTGTAATAAACCTATTACTATTACTATCGTTGTTGTAAATGATCGAGACCGAGAATGAATTATGCAGGGGAAAAAAATACTTGACATTTGTACATCTCCAATACAAGGCATCACAATATCTTCTTTCTTTTTCTCTCGAGCCTGCCCACTACATTCTCATACAAGTCCCTTTCGTTTTCCGTTCCCAAAGTGTTGTTTTTGGACCCGCTTGGCCGTTTCCGCCGCCTCCAACTCTCATCGCATCTCGTCTTAGTCAATCCAACCTTTCTACGCTTGCTTCGCCTTTCATTGTTCACCCCGCCCGATAGTAACTTCATGCAAACCCATTCAACAGCGCTTTAGCTCCAGCTAGCAATGTACCAACGACACCCCCTCCTTCTCTTCTAACCATCTGCGTATCGTAATCGTTGCTATCGTAACCAAAGCTCACTTGAGAGAGAATAGCATCGTTATCGAGCGAAAGATGTCCATAATCGCAGTCATATGCGGCGCTCGAGTGTGTCATTCCTGGTATGGCTTCTATCATTGCTGCACGTACAAATACCGACACTACGGCAACGTAGAGTAGAACTTTTATGCTTTGGTGCTGGTTGGGCGAACGTGAAGAAGCAGAAGAGAAAGTAGTCGTGGGTGAGAACGTTGGAAGCATGGTTGGTTAATTCGTGAAGAGAAAAGACAGTCTCAGATATTAATATTCTGAGTAGTAGATATTGTTGGTCGTTATTATTGTCTGTGTAGTTGTATGTCAAATACAAGAATTTGTCCGGCTTTTAAAGGTTATTGTAGCTCCTATTCCGATTGAACACTTCGATATATTATTTGCAAGTTTAACAACAAAGAGTCTTTGCTCTACTTGCGGGGTCGAATAATTTCTCACCGTCTTTATACTGTTGCTGCGACTGCGGTTCTACAACCAATCGAATACTGAACAGAGACTGACTATTATCCTTTCAAAAATGGACGTTGTTCATTTGATAAGCTTTTTGTGAGACAATATGGATGAATGGACATTCTGGAACAAGGAGTAACGTTGACTGAACTTTGATACACATGCAGTATAACTGTCTACGTAATCACAAAATAAATTTTATTGCTAATAAACTTAATATATCGTTGTATTTCTCTATGATCTCATCAACATGGCTATGAATGTCTTTGCATAGACGTTAACTATTCGCATTCTGTTGAATTAGATGCAAACAACTCAAGCTCCTTCCCTTCAGTCTTGTTTTTTTGCCTCCTTATCTTTATCGTACAACGATTCATCATCATCAGCATCTGCCACAGTCGCTCTCAAATCTTTCTGCGCTTGATCCATTTCCTCTACATTCTCTCTCTCCACGCTCGGTTTCTTTTTCGATACATCCCACCCCCAGATAGGAATAAAACTGTCGACGAACCCGACATCGGCAAACAAATTGGGAAAGATCCATATTCCAGGGGGAACAAACAGCATTGTAAAGATGTAGAATATCAGTCTTACTATTGCAAGGACGATAAACAATCCAAAAATTCCCAATATCGCAACTGAGATGTACCACACGCCGTCACGTAGCAGGGCTGGCCAGAGCGGAAACAAAACTGCTGCAAATACACCCGCTATTAATAAGATACCACCAAGGAGTGTTAACAATTGCGACCCTTCATAAAACCAGACGTAATATTTTTCCTCTGCCCATATTTGATTGTGATTTATTTGGAGTAATCTAGTTGTATTGCGGCCAGTAGTTTCTGAGCGCTCGACGGATAAAAAGAAAGCATACGTATGTATTTCCCGAAGCAAATTGTTGGCGGCTGTGGCGTCTGCGACAGGAGGAACGTTTTTGAGTTTTTTATATGAATCTTTGAGTAGAGCTCTAACCGCGGATTTGCCTGAATATCAACGACGAAAGGGCGAGAGATGACAATCGCGACATGAAGTAGTTAGCCTAGTCCATACGATCATTCTTCTCTTGATGACATGTCTCGACGCTAACAAAATTCCATTTTATATACCTTTGAAATATTCAACTCTCTTCCCGTTTAGTATTCCCTCTCGAGTAGACGCTCCATTAGAACGAGATCTCAGGTACTTTATTACGTTAAGGAACTCGGGAGACGCTTCTTTCTGATTCTCCATGCAGTTGTTACTTCTTAACCCTAAAATATTTGACTTCCAGTCAGCATAATGCATAATTCGGTGACTTTTTATTGGTCACGTGGATCAGACCAATAAGTTGAAGCCACGAGTTACGATCTAAATTTAGCATAATAATAATGTTTTGCTATTTACGGACAAAAGAACAACGATAACGGCCAACTGGTCAATTCATATATCCTGAGTCAGACTCTCACCAGCACACTTTGTCGAGCTCGTTAACGTAAATTGGTGAATGTTGGACACAATGCGAGATGCACAAAATTCTCCAGAGCGCGTAAGCGTACTAGTTAACACGATTCTGCTGATGTCTAGTCATAAAGCATACAGATCGTAAAGTGAGTTTTGCTATCCTTTGCTATATTGTCAGATAAAAACTGACAATATTCTTTACTAGCTAAACTTTGTCATCTCGCTTTCACTTTGCACACAATATTATGATGGTATGTAATGAGCATAACGCGCGAATATGCTGGTCAGGTCATGACTGGTCTTTACGAGTAAATGATTAGTGAGTGCCGATTCTAGTATGTCACGGCTATTGAAATACCATATGGGAGTTTTAAGTACGTCAGTTTGTCGAAAAGAGTTCGTTGTTTTGCTTGCGATTTGAAAGAAACTATTCATGCACTGTGTGGACAGTTTGTAGTTTTAAAAATGCTTTACAGCAAGAGTTTTTGGCAGGTGTGAACGCAAGTCAATATGTATTCTTTAGATGTGAAAAAAGCAGCTCTAGAGGTCCACCTTAGCTGTACTAATAAAGGACACACGAAATTACAAAATAAATACTGAAGTCAACCAAATCTACAAATACAAATCTAAGCAAAGATTAAAACTGCCAGTCAATTGCCTGACTTTAATCGGATTGAACAATTTTTGTGGGGTTTTCACGTGTTTTATATATATTAATATAGAAAAAACAGTGAAACAAAAAAAAACCACAAAACACAAATAAATAAATAAATAAATAAAAATTGCTTACTTATTACTGAATGACCAAAGCATATATCATATGGATTTAGTTAAGAGCATGGCAAGTAGAATTGAAGCATGTATTGCTTTACAGATTTCAAGATATGAACTAAGAGAAAAGGGGGTCTGTTACTTATTTCAGGTGAGCGTATAATCTTTATAGCTTATATTACATGTAACATTTGCTCATAAGCTCAAACAGTTGCAATTAAGTCAGCGACTGCTGCGGTGTCTTCTTCACCTTTAACTCCTTATCCAGTACAAACGCAACTGCTGCGGTGTCTTCTTCAATAAGTGCAACTTTATTGCTGAACTACATATACATGTTAAAGCTGCTGCGGTGTCTTCTTCATCTTCAACTCCTTATCCAGTACAAACGCAACAGCTGCGGTGTCTTCTTCTTGTGACAAGCGCAGTACTAACTTGTACGCGAAATGATGGCAATAATGCGACAAGGCATCTACTGTATTATTAAATTTAGAGAGCCACGTACTCCTCCTCCTGCAATAATCATCTTGAAAGAATCTGTGTGGTTCATGATCCGCACTTTATCTTCGAGTACACTTTTCCTGTCAAGGCTTTACATTTTCGGCTAGGAATATAATAAATTTCTCTCGATGTATTTAATCGTTGTTAGACTAAAAGAATTACGCTTATAAGGAAAGTTATAACACCTTTGCAAACGGCTCGTACTTCAATACTAACAGTTCCACGTGTACCTAGCCTCGAGCAGTTACCAGCAATTCGACGTAAATCGTATTTATACCTTTGGCGGTCGGTATATACGACAATCGTTAAGATTTTAAAATTGCTGATATTTCTGAATTAAACCCACAATTATTTAGCTTTAAAATAATATAGATTTTATTGGTACTTGTTTAAAAATGAGCGACTTAATTATATGTTTTTATTAGTAAAATCTTGTATCATAGAAAAATCGCGTGACAAATAACTTCATTGTTTTGAAAAGCACACCACATACCCAATTCCTCTCTCTTCAACGAAACTCTTTCGCAGGGCTTGACACAAACGAATAGACAATTATTTTAAAACATGACCGTTGGCTTCACTTTGAGGGCCACCCGACCTGTTGTTAATTGTATTGGACGACGAGTCTTTGAGCAAAGAAAACTACCGAGACGTTGCCTACAGGTGTTTTTTTTTTTTAGCAAGATCCCGTTAACCTATTGCATTTTGATTTGGCTACAAACTCATCATTTAAGACGATAAACATGTATTTCTCGGGTTAGACAGGGAAGTTACCAAGCAACTCGAACAAAGTTAGAATTGTAGAAGTTGGCCCGCGTGACGGTCTTCAAAATGAGAAAAAGCTTGTTCCGACAGAAATCAAAGTTGAATTTATCAACAGATTATCAAAGACTGGACTTACAGCAATCGAAACTACGTCATTTGTATCGCCCAAGTGGGTGCCTCAGGTAGAGATCACTATAGCAAGGGGTGTTCATTTGTGCGCAATGATTCCTCTAACACGAACAACATTTTTTGATCTAGATGTCTGACGCGAACAAGGTAATGTCGCAAATAACGCGCGTTCCAGGTATTTGCTACTCGGCATTAACACCAAATACCAAAGGACTTGAGAATGCCATTGCTGCGAATGTAGAAGAAGTGGCCATATTTGGCGCTGCATCGGAAACATTCAGTAAAAAGAACATCAATTGCTCGATAGATGAGAGCTTACAGCGTTTTGGAGATGTGATCAAGAAAGCTAACGAGAATGGCATTCGAGTGAGAGGTTACATAAGTTGTGTGCTTGGATGTCCATACGAGGGTGAAGTGGCGCCCGAGGCAGTCGCTGGTACCGCCGCGAAGATGTATAAGATGGGATGTTATGAGGTATCACTTGCTGATACTATTGGAGTTGGAACCCCTGGTCGGTTGCTTTTATTGACTTTGGTTGCTTGCTGCTAGTACTGTAGGATATGTTCCAATGCCAAGACTCATGCTAATCTATTCCATATTTTATTTTATTCGACTTTTAAAGGCTCAATGGCGAAAATGCTTGAATCGGTCATAAAGGTAGTTCCGTTCGACAAACTTGCGGTGCACTGTCATGACACATACGGCCAAGCTCTTGCAAATATTTTCTGTGCGTTACAATTCGGAATACGGGTCGTGGATTGCTCGGTTGCTGGTCTCGGTGGTTGTCCTTTTGCTAAAGGAGCTACTGGAAACGTGGCAACTGAAGACGTGCTTTACATGCTCGATAAATCTGGTTATGAGACTGGAGTTGATCTTGCGAAAATGGTGGACGTTGGAAATTATATTAGCGATTTTCTCGAAAGATCTAATGGGTCCAAGGTCGCCGTGGCGCTGAGCGCGAACAAGTCGTAACAATTATTTTAAAGAGCAAAAATTTTGAAAATGTATATGAATGCATGCTCAATGGTTCGAGCATCAGGAATACCCCAATCCCATCAATCCCCATCCGCCCACTATAGAGTAATTAATTAGACATAGAAAGTGGTATAGTTGTGTTCATGGAATTCTGTGTCGACATCTTGTTCACGGGAATAATA